TGGGTTCTTGGGCCTTTTAATCCCCTTTCTCCCACTCTCCTGCCCTGCTGCTTTGGTCATGCCTGGGTTCCATCTTCTCACCTGGATCCCTGTGGCGGACTGCTCCTCTGTCCTGGTTCCTGGGCTTTTAATCCCCTTTCTCCCGCTCTCCCGTCCTGCTGCTTTGGGTGTGCTTGGGTTCTCTCTCCTCACCTGTATCCCTGTACGTACGTACGTACGTACGTACGTATGAACATACATACATACGTGTGTGTGTGTGTGTGTATGTATTTAAAATTAGCACATATTTTTGGCCAGTCTGTTTCTTACGCTTTTATCCTCTTTTCCTGTGCTGTGGAGGAGCACAGGTTTTGATTCTGATGATGTCCTTTTCACTAACCTATTTATTATGGATTGTAATTTTTGATGTCAAGGCGCAGACTCTTTGTCTGACATCTCTAAGATTGGTTCCTATTTTTCTTCCCAAGTTTTTCATAGTTTTACATTTTTTTAATTTACAGTTCTTTTCAATTTGAATTAATTTTTACACAAGCTGTAAGATTGAGGTTGAGGTTCGTTTTATAATCAGTCTTACATTCTGCAGCCTTGCTAAACTCACTCATTAGTTGTAGTAGCTTTTTACATTTTATTTGCTGTATGTAGGATTCTATCAACTGCAAATAAAGGTATTTTTGCTGTTGCTTTCCAGCCCAGATGCTTTTTGTTTCTTCTCCTTCTTGAGGGCACTGCCAGGTGCTCCGGAATTCTGTTGTGTGGGAGAGGTGAGAGCAGCAGCCTTACTTTGTTCCTGATCTGTCACCGGTGAGGATGGGGTCATTGGGTGGCTCCTGTGTACGCCCCTTTATCAGGTTCAGGAAGTTCCCTCCTCTGCCTCGTTTGCTGGGTGTTTTTCTTAGGAATGGATATTGGATTTTGTCTAATGCTTTTCTGCATCTCTTGTGGGGACATTGGTTTTTGTTTTAGTTTGTGTATGTGGTGAGTGCATTGACTGATACATTCCTGGAGCAAAGTCCACTTGTGCTTGATACATTATCTTTTTTATTGTATTGTTGAATTTGATTTGTTAAACTTTTGTTTAGAATTTTTGCGTCTGTGTTCCTTAGGGATCTTGGTCTCTTGTTTTCTTGTAACACCTTTGTCTTCTGTTGGTATTGAGATCTGCTGGCCTCAAAGACTAGGTTTGAAAGTATGCCCCCTTCTTCAGTGTTTGGAAAAAGTTGGCATGGAGTAGGTCCTATTTCCTCGTTAATATTTAAGTCGAATTCACCAGGGAAACCATCTGAGATGGAGTTTTGTGTTTTTAACCACAAATCATCTTTTATAGATACAAGTGTTCAGATTGTTTTTTTCATCCTGGGTAATCTTTGTAGTTTGAGTGTTTTAGAGAATTTGTCCATTTCATTTTCATGGTCAAATTTGTAGGCATAAAATTGTTCATGGTATTTTGTTGCTTTCCTTTTCAGAGCTGGAGAATTTGCAGACATTTTGCACCTCCCGTCCTTGATATAGGTGGCAGTGTTTCCTCCTTTCTTCCCAGTCTGGCTAGCGCTTTAGCCACCTTAGTGCTCTTCTCCAGCTTTTTCATTTCATTGATTTTTCCTGAGTTGTTTTATTTTCTTCTTCTGCTGCTGCTTTGGGTTTAGTTTGTTCTTCGTTGCCAGTTCTTAAGGGTGCTGGCACCTGGCACCTTCCTTCTTTCCTCACCCAGGTGCTCTGGGTTACATGTTTCCCTCTAAGGAATAGAACGACGAGGTGAGAGATGTCACGTCGTCTGCGGGTAAAGGTTACATGTTTCCCTCTAAGGAATAGAATGACGAGGTTAGAGAGATGTCACGTCATCTGCGGGTAAAGCTGTAAATTCAGTGATAGTCCAATATAAATTTGAGAAATAAAATTTGCTATAAATTTCCCTCTGAGAACTGCTTTCCCAGCGTCCCATTCTAATACTTTCCGTTTTCATTTTCTTTTGGATCAAAATCTTTCAGATTTCCTTTATGGCTTCTTCTTTGTCTCATGGTTATTTCATTTCCAACATCTCTTTCTGTTATCTGTCTGATTTGATTCCATTATGCTCAGAAAACATACATTATTTGACCTAAATGGTTCTTAGTGTACAGAGACTTGTTTGTAGCCCTGGTGAAGGTCTGTGTGCCTTGAGCAGAGCTGTCCCGTCTTTGCTGTTGGTCCCTTTGAGTTAGCTGGTCATTCAGCTGACAGTGTTACCTCCTGCCCTGGGCTGTGTCCTCGCTGCTTTTCTGTCTTGTTCTCTGAGTTACTGAGAGGGGAGTGTTGGCATCTTTGACTGAACTTGTGGATTCCCTAGCAATCTGCCTGTGTTGCCTGCTTGCACCTAGCGTGGCTTTCTTTTGTCCTCCTCTTGCAGGGCCACCTCTTGCAGGGTCATGGTGGGATGACATCCTGTGCTTTGTGAGCCACTTGGATGTTGAAGCAGCCACGCCGGCGTTTTTTGAGCCAGTGTCTGTGTAGGATGCCTTTTCTGGCTCTGTCCTTGTAATCTGTGTCCTCATTGGACTTGATGCGTTGGTGATGGATGTGTTGCTTGCCACACTGCCCGGTCCCACGGTCTGTCACTGCAGTAGGCCGTGGGGCATCTGGGTGCTTCCTCGCATCGTCTTTGCTCTTCAGTGCGTGACCTGCTTCCCATCAAGGTCTCTGCTTTCTCGGGGCGGTTAACACACTAAAAGTGCCGTCAGCTTATGCTCACTCCTGCGCCGCCGCCCTCGGCGGCTGAACTTGGCCCCTGCTTCCTGTGCGGCAGGAACCTGCGAACCGGAGGGAATCAGGTCGCTCTGTTGTGATTTGTGTGTTGTCAGCTGTGAGGTTCCCTGCCCTCAGGGGCCTTGCCCCTCAAACTTAAGTGAACCTGAAGTCTCTCCAGAGGGCTCTGAGACCCAAGTCTGTGGGTGCAGGCAGCACTGGCTGGGGCCGAGACCTTACACCTCGGACAGCTGTTCCGCTTCTGGAGGGCTTTCTCTTCTGGCCCCTGCATCCCTCTTTGTCTAGCCAGGGCCTGATGTCCCCTTGGTTAGTAGTGCCAGGGAGGCCCCTGAGTGTCCTCTGTCACAGTGGGCCTGCTGGCCTCTCTCTCGCCATTCTTGCTGCTCCTTGTGGCTGCTCTTGTGGAAGTTTGTTTCTCCCTACACCTCTCAGAGGAGTCCTGGTGGCACAGTGGTTATGTGCTCAGCTGTTCACCAGGTGCTCTGTGCGAGAAAGAGGAGGCAGGCAACTTCTGTGAAGATTGACAGCCTTGGGAACCCTATGGGGCAGTTCTGCCCTATCCTGTAAGGTTGCTAGGAATTGGAATGTACTTAACGGAAATGGATTTGGTTTTGGTTTTTGATGCCTGTTTTAAAAGGAGGGAGCCTGGCGGAATACTGGTTAAGTGCTCAGCTGCTGATGGAAAGGTCAGATGTTTGAAACCTCCAATGCTCCATGGGAAAAGATGTGGCAGTTGGCTTCAATAAAGATTAAATAAACCAAACCCATTGCTGTCGAGTTAATTCTAACTCGTGGAGAGATCCTGTAGGACAGAGTACTACTGTCCCGTAGGATTTCCAAGGCTGTAATCTTAACAGAAGCAGACTGCCACATCTTTCTCCCATGGAGTGGCTGGTGGGTTTGAACTGCTCACCTTTAGATTAGCAACTGAGTGTGGGCTTAGTGCCACTAGGACTCCTCTGCAAAGATGAGAGCCTTGGAGACCCTGTGGGCAGTTCCACTCTGTCCTCTAGGGGCGCTGTGGGTTGGAATGGACTCCCCGGCAGTGGGTGTGGTTTGGGCTTTGCTTCCGTGAAGATTGACAGCCTTGGAGACCCTGTGGGCAGTTCCACTCTGTCCTCTAGGGGCGCTGTGGATTGGAATGCACTCCAGGGCAGTGGGTGTGGTTTGGGCCTTGCTTCCGTGAAGATCCAGAGCCTTGGAGACCCTGTGGGGTAATTCCACTCTGTCCTCTAGGGGCGCTGTGAGTCAGAATCCACTTGAAGGCTTTGGGTTTGATATTTTTGGTATACCTTTCAGAGGAAGCTTATAGCATTCCCCATACATTAATTGGAGTTTTGATTGGAACGTCATTGAATTTATGGTTTTAATTTGAGGGACTTGACATCTTTGAAATCTTGTCATGACTTCAAGAACATGAAACATCCCTTATTTTAAACATTTCCTCCACAGTGACCTTGAGTAGTTTTGGTTAAACAGTTCTTGTATCCTTTATGACTTTTTCTGCTTTGGGGATATTATTTTATCTTTTTCTTAGATTCTCTGGTTGTGGATGCTCATGCAGAAGAAACGCTCTTGCTTTTGAAGCAGGTGACTGCATGACTTTCAGGCCAGAACAGTCACAGCCCTGCTTGCCCAGTCTTTTGGGTCTTGCTTCTGTTTCTTTTTCCTCTAGTGTCTCTGCGTCCCTCCGTTTTTCTGTTACTGGTCTTTGTGGCTATTCTTATGTTACTTGTTACTTCTAATCTTAAATGTAACTCATTTCCTCCAAATTGAGGTTTCCCAAAATCTTGGTCCTTGGCTCTTCAAGTTAAAGAAGTTTCTTCTGTTCCTTTGCTCAGGTGTTTTTTCTTTTGGTCACTTACAGGTGTCTGTTCACTCAGAACATATTTATTGAGCACCTTTTATGGTCTAGGCCCTATGAACATGCTCTGGGCCCAGGAGGGACTAGGCAGCCACCACCTCAGTGTGGATGGTTGGGCAGCAGGCATACCTTGTCTCCAAGTGCATGACCTCTTCAGCGCTTAATCCTGCCCAAACTTAACCAGCAAACCTTCAGAGTTAACATTCAAGGCATAGTTTTGTGTTCGTATGTTTGAACAGTTGCCTAAATACAAACTCAGTGGGTCTTCTGTTAGTCTTATGTAACACCGACCAAGAAATGGCGGCTGTTGTTTCGTGGGGGTGCGGGGTGGCAGCATGCTGGGTTGCAGTAGGGCTTGCTCTCTCAGTGACATCCCTCTCTGTCCACAGACGTACCCATGGCCGCTGACGAAGGCTCAGTGGAGAAGCAGGGAGGAGAGGCCCACACGGCCACCGATGGTGACACCAATGGGTCCTGTGAAAAAAACGATGCCACCAGTCATCCCAGTGCAGCGAAGCACACTCAGGAGAATGTGAAAGCCAGCCCGCAGGAAGGCACCAATAAACTGGGCCGCATCGCGGAGAACGGCATCTCGGAACGAGATGCGGAGGTGGGAAAGCAGAACCACGTGAGAGCCGACGAGCTCACCCAGACCGCTGTCGTCGGGAGCAACGGGTTCTTCCTCGCCAAGCCGGCCCTGCAGGGGCAGCCCCTGAGGACTAGCGGCCCCTTGGCCCCCCCACTCCCTGGCCATGCCGCCAAGACCTTGCCAGGAGGAGCCGGAAAAGGGAGGACTCCAGGCACTTTTTCTCAGATGCCAGCCACCGTGCCAGCCCGGCTCGGGGAGGGCAGCCGGGACACGGACAACAAGACGCTGCCAGCCCCAGGCCCTGATGTCAAGGTCCACCGTGCCCGGAAGACCATGCCGAAGTCTGTGCTGGGCCTGGTAAGGCACCCACCCGCGTGGCCCTATGTCCCCTTCTGTTCTCTCCTTCTGCTTCTCTCCCACCTGAGTGTGGTGCATGGACTCAAGGGTGTTGGGGGAAAGGTCGGTACAGTGGCAGGGATGTCCAGCATGGAGCTGGGCCGTGCACTGGACGGCCCCCATGGGAGTGGCAAGGACAGCAAGGCTTTGCTCCTTGCACCGGGGCTGTCACCAGTGACAGGGAGCACGTCAGCCCTTCACTGGAGACTGTGGCTCCTCTGTCTTGGGCTCTTTGATTCTGGCTTCTCCCACCCCTGTCCCTGTGGGAATGGGTAGAAATTTGGTTAGAGAGCTCCAGGATGACCGATGTGAAGGGACCTTCCAGTGACAGCATGCAGGCCACACCTCTGTGACATTTGGCGCACACAGTGGTCACTAGGGCTGACTCTGAGTGTCTTGGTGTCTGCTCCTCACCCTTCTGGTGAAGTTACATTGTGTAACGTGTCTGAAATGCTTTCACTCTGCTGTGACCTTTGCCCTCCTGCCTTTTCTCTGTGGGCTCGTGGGCTGTGGTGAGGCCCTGACCGTCACCCCTGGGTCCCCCTTGTGGGCTCGTGGGCTGTGGTGAGGCCCTGACTGTCACCCCTGGGTCCCCCTTGTGGGCTCGTGGGCTGTGGTGAGCCCTGACCGTCACCCCTGGGTCCCCCTTGTGGGCTCGTGGGCTGTGGTGAGGCCCTGACCGTCCCCCTTGGGTCCCCCTTGTGGGCTCGTGGGCTGTGGTGAGGCCCTGACCGTCACCCCTGGGTCCCCGTTGTGGGCTCATGGGCTGTGGTGAGGCCCTGACCGTCACCCCTGGGTCCCC